GGGGATTTTTGTTTTTGGGTTATGTCGCTAAGAAAGGGAGTTAAAACTAACGACAAAGGTTTATTAACTTAACGGCTGACTTTCGCAGTCTTTAATTTGCCGAGTCAACATATAGTTGGAGCATTAAACTGCGCGAGTAATAGTTCGGTATTTAATTTGCCGATTGCAAACAGTTCGGGATTTAAAAGCCCATTTTCCCGTTCTTTTTGCTGTAAAAGAATTATTATTGTATTTATCGTTTATTATTTAATGTAAGTTACCGCTTCATTTTTATGTCTTTTATCGTGTATATATTTATATTCTACCCAATTCCATAGGAAAACACATATTTGAACTTGATTTATTCTTCAAACTTTGGACATAAAAGTTATAAGAAGTTATCGAAAATATTAATATATGAGCCGAAACAAGGTAGAAACCAAAAATGTATTTGCTTCCATCACAGCCACGCAACCAATCGAAAATGTGACACTTGTACATACACATGCACACTAACCTTTGAGAAATACAAAAATAGGTTATTTAATTCATGTATAACCCGATGATAAATGGCGTACGAAATATAAAGACGTATTTTCTGAAACATCTTTTGTAGCTGGACTTGTATTTAGTCTTGTGCATATCCTTTCTGTGTTGCAAAGTCTTGTTAGATTCGATGCACACAAATTATTAAACCTCTAAATTGTATAATATAAAATTAAATATGCCACAATATCATTGAATTATGTACATTAATCGAACCAGTTCGTTTTTAGGTTCATATGAATTATAAATTTTGTATATTTAATTATTTTAATAAATTTGTTATGAAGAAATTTTTTTTTGGTAAAAGTTATGAAGATAAATTGTTTTCTACTTATTAATTTCACAAGAAAACAAACTAAAAAGGAAGATATAGTTATGTATAATTGATAAGGCAGAGAGAAGAGGTGACTATGATGATGAAAACATATGCACATGTGTTAGGTCAGAAGCAAGGAGAACAAGGCAGCTCCTGCTTCTTTGCATGAAACCTCTCCCAAACTCTTCTCTTCTCTTGCCACGACTCCTCTATCCATACCCTCTCACACTTTCTCCCTTCAACTTTTGTCTTCTTATTACATCTCATCACCATTCATAAAACAAATGTAATAATCTAAAAAGCAAAACTAACAATATTTTAATATATGTTTTAACTTATTCTCATGTCTGTATCCATACTCAAACCTTGATATAAATAGACCACATGCAATATCCTGTTCTCTCATCTTGCACTCACCTCTCAAAACTACAACACACATAACACAAGAATAAACAAAACACGAGTTGTTATTAATCATGGACGTCGTGAGACCAACGGTGGAGATTCCACCTCGAAAGCTTCTCTTGTCTTCCAAGTCTTTTCCGGCGGAGTCTTCTCCACGTTGTTCGCCGCGTAAACATAACTGGAACAACAAAAGCAACAAGATCTCCGTATCTGAACACGAAGAGGACACCTTAAACGAAGACAACAACAACAACAAGGATACTAATAAAGAGTATTGTTATGATTCCGACACTGATGATCCTTACGCAAGTGACCATTTCCGTATGTTCGAATTCAAGATCCGACGTTGCACTCGTAGCAGAAGCCATGACTGGACTGATTGTCCCTTTGCACATCCCGGGGAGAAAGCTCGTCGTCGTGATCCTCGTCGGTTTCAATATTCCGGTGAGGTTTGTCCTGAGTTTCGTCGTGGTGGTGATTGTAGCCGTGGAGATGACTGTGAGTTTGCTCATGGAGTCTTTGAGTGTTGGCTCCATCCCATTCGCTACCGTACCGAAGCTTGTAAAGACGGTAAACATTGTAAAAGAAAAGTATGTTTCTTTGCTCATTCGCCACGTCAGCTTAGGGTTCTTCCACCTGAAAATGTTTCCTCCTCAGCCTCTGCCTCTCCGGGGAAGAATCCTTGCTGCTTGTTTTGTAGCAGCTCTCCGACGAGTACTCTTTTGGGTAATTTGTCTCATCTTTCTCGATCTCCATCCTCATCTCCACCTCTTTCTCCGGCTCACAAAGCTGCTGCCTTCTCACGGCTGAGGAGTTGCGCCGCAGCTGCAGCCTCTGGGTCGGTTAACTATAAAGATGTTTTAAGTGAGCTTGTGAATTCGTTGGATAATATTAGCCTAGCGGAAGCCTTGCAAATGAGCTCCTCGTCGCCTGTTACAACGCCTGTTTCTGCCGCAGCGTTTGCCTCGTCGTGTGGTGTGAACAATCAGCGTCTCCATATGCAACAACAGCAGCAAAGCAGTCCGTTACAGTTTGCTCTCTCGCCTTCCACTCCAAGTTACCTAAACTCGCCTAGGTCAAGCTTCTTTAGCGATGAGTTCACTCCTCGCCAGAGACAAGTGAACGATTTCACTACTGTGGGGACGGTGAGGGACAAGGCTAGCTTTGAGGATGGTTCTTGCGGTGACCCCGATATTGGATGGGTGAATGATCTCTTGACCTGATAGATCCACGAGGGAGGTGATCTGTCACGAGAATGTAAATTTCAGTGGAGTGGATGAGTTTAATATACGTTGGTGAATCATGGGAAAATGCCGGTTTGGTCAAATATGCATGAAGAGATTGTTGTTGAAATTTGTTTTGGGGATTTTATTGTTTTACGGATTTCCACGAGAGCTAATTATGGATTGTATGTGTATTGTCGTTTATTTCTAGATTATCTCTTTTTGGTTGGTTTTTACCCAATAATATGTTTGAACTTGTAATATCATGTGGATTCGGATTGTATAATACTAATATGTTTCACCATTTCTATATATGTATTTTCGCTTCAATGAATATTTCTTTCTGGTTGGTCTATAACAGTGGATTTGGACCAGTACCATCTACCTCTTTACATTCAGCTTAGCAAGGAAAGAAAGTAGGTTTGAGAACACGCCCAAGTACGTATAAATATAATTGAACATGATTACGCTTTGTTAAGATCAAAATGATGGAGTTAGAAACAGTTGATATATACTAACGACACGGACTTCTTTAAGAAAACAATGATATATCATTCTTGAAAATGTTCATCACAACCTGAAACGTGTATGTTCATGAATAATAACGACCACACATGTTATAGTAGATTCATTGCACAATTGTGATCTCTTCTAGAAGAAAAATCTGGAATTATTAATCTCTCACGTTCAAACGTGTTATGTTTTGGTTGTGTCTTTCAAGAAGAATATAGTTGTATACGGTTCCACAATGAAACTATAGACGATTTGGTCATATACTTTATCGTATAAAAACACTGATAAGTTCATTTTTGACACCTCAGGAAACAGGCATGTGTAATATATATGGTCGACAGATGTACACAATGAGACGTGTCCATCAACACTATATTATATAAGACACATTCATGCATGTTTGTAGATCCCAAACATGTACATACTCCAGCTGTGGATTATAATCGTTCATATTATAACATAGATGGAGAAGAAAGATTTATATCCATGACTCGTATCGCCATGTTTCATTAACTGAGTACAGCCACGATGAGAGAGAGCGTGAAGACAAGGGAAAGGAATAAGATAAGGTTTATTATTCTACTACGTGTCTTGTGGACGGCGAAAAGCACACGTGAACACCCACCTGACTCATCGACTCTGCGGCTGATCCCCGTCAACACGAAACCCAAATTGTTCAAAATAATACATAATTTAAATTTTTCATATTTATTAAAAAATATTAAAATTTAGTTATTTATGTATAATTTTTGTAGTTTATATTTTCCACATTTTCGACCAATAAAAATTTTAAAATGCAATTAATGTTTTTGAAATTCACATTTTTTCATTATTAGTTGATAAAAATTATATTAAAAATCTAAAAAATATTTTTTTTTGTAATGCATTTTTCGAAATAGAAGGAATATGGTTATAGGACTTTAGTAGGTCCTCTTAGAAAAATAATAATAATTCAAATTACCATTTTTTTAGCATAGAGTAAAATGTCACTAATCGTCAAGGATTTTTTGCTGCTACGGTTTTTTATCTTTGACGTCTAAAACCAACCAATCTGAGTACAGCAGAAACATTTTGACAACAAATTATATAAAACCCAAGTACAGTAGAAGTACAGACACAATAAAGAAATGACAAAAATGTATTTCTTCAAGACAAACTGAAAAAAGGATAATCTTGTTAAATTTAAAATTAAGCTCCAGTACAAAAAAACATAAAAATAAAATCTAAACGTCCATCGATGGAGCTAAGCTAAGGTCTAGATTCAGATCCCTTCGCAGCTTATAATCAGCCGCATCCCTCTTGACTCCCACGGTAATTTCATGACCGATACTCAATCCCATTTCGACTGGCTCAAACCGGACCAGGTCCTCTCTAGCATGCGGGAGATCTAAGAAAAATCTAGTAACCGCTTCCACAGCTGTCGGAGCCAACACGCCAGACACATTCTTTCGAGAAACCAAAGGAGATCTCTCCTCTCTTCCCGTCACATGCGTCGCCAAAGCATTCCCGTCGCCGAAAGGGAAGTTGGTTGTTGCTTTGGAACCACGGAACTCTCTAGCGGCGGAGTCGTAGGCTCTAGCAGCTTCCTCGGCCGTGTCAAAGGTTCCAAGCCAAACCCGAGTTTTCTTTGTCGGGTCACGGATCTCAGCAGCATATCTTCCCCATGGTCTCTTCCTCACTCCCCTGTAATGCACCTCCTTAATCTTTCCTCCGGCGGCGTCGGCGTGAGCCACATTCTCTTGTCTTGGGGACATTTCTTTGATATAAAAGATTACTTTTAACAAGGAGTGAAAGTGAGAGTAATGTTTTATAGAAGGTGACGTAATCTCTAACAAAAGGATAAAGTGAGTGAGAGAGAGAGACGGTCAACGATGTTTGACTGAATCGCCGCCCAATAGAGAGAAAAACTGAAGAGAGTTTTGATGAGCTGTACAAGTTGTGACGGCTTTTTGTTAATGCGGCGTGACTTTTCGCCATATCGCTTATTTTCTCTACGCTGTCTCCAGTCCATTCAAAATGGTATGCTTCTGGATTTGGGCTTTTAAGGGCTTTCTTTTAGCTCTTGGGCTCTTTTATTTTTTCTGAAAGCCTTTTACATTTAGTGGCTTTATTTTTATTTATTAGGGAAAATAATCCGAATAAAATACTAAACGAACCCATAAGTTTACATTTGTATTAACTAAGTTTTTATATTTTGAAGTTGTTGAGTATATGCATATGTTATACTCAAGTTGACCAAAATGTATGAAGCCCACTATAATAATGAACCCATTCTGATGTTCGTTAATTTTAAAACTAAGTGTAATAAATCTCATTAATATTTTGATAATCCAGCAAGATCTTTGGTATATAAATGCTAACTAAGAGGATTAAAACCCTAATAAACGAGAAGACTCCAAGACAAATCTAACAACAACTCTTGGTAACCCAAAGTAAAAAAAAAAACCCGTAGAATTTTAAGTGAAAAGCCGACGAGTTACACAATGTCAACGACAACTGTGCAGAAGACCAAACCAATTTTCGTGAAGGTGAATGAACTCCAACCAGGAAAAAGCGGCTATAACCTGACCGTGAAAGTCGTTGAATCCAATCTCGTTACACCAGCGATCCGCAAAATTGGCTCCCTGACGCGACCATTTCGAACTCCTCGTATAGCCGAGTGTTTGATCGGTGACGACACTGGATGCATTATTTTCACTGCTCGTAATGATCAAGGTACATACATACAACTTGTTCTTGATTATAGTTTTATGAATAAGTTCTCTCTAGTTATGTCTGCTTGTAGTGATGTTATTTTTGGGATTGGTAATGTAGTTGATGTAATGAAGACTGGAGCAACTGTTACTTTGAGAAATGCAAAGATCGACATGTTTAAGGACACCATGAGAATGGCTGTTGATAAATGGGGACTCATTCAAGTTACGGACCCTGTTTCCTTTGAGGTTAACCGACAAAACAATCTTTCCCTTGTGGAGTATGAGCTAGTCATTGTACCTGTTCAGTAACTTTATGCCCTGTCTCTGCTTTTCACGTTTTTATTTTACTAGTTTGAATTTTCAGAGAATTTTTTAGTTATGATTTTTTTTTTTAAATCCGTTGATTTAATTTAAGACAAGATTGTGTAATTTTTTTTTTTTTTTTTTGCAAAGCTCTGGATGTTTCTGCCGCAGAGTATGTTTTGATTAAGTTGGTATTGGTCTTATGGTTTTATTTTTTAACGCACTGTTGGTGTCTTGGCTGTAATTGAGTTTAAGATAAACATTAAAAATTTTACTATTATATAACTTAAAGTGAATTGTAGATTTCACACCTCATAAAAATACAAGTAAATTGAGATTTCACGATTACTCCAAATGTTATTTTGCATCTCAAACGAAATTGAGATTTCACGACTTTTCAAGGCTGAAACTCCTCATGACTACCTTCCAAGCTCTTGTAGTATTCCTCCATAGTGTCAAACTCGTATGGATGATCATTTCCTCGAGAACTCTCATACCTGCGACTAGGGTTATTTTCATAACTCTTACCTCTTGTGTCGTAGTAGTACTTACCGTTCTCTGCAAACCTTGTATCTTTCATCTCTTGTCTCTCTTCTTCATTACCGTAACCTCTCCTGTTATTATCATTATAAGTGTATCCATTATTGTTGTACCTGTTCTTCTGCTCACTAAGATCTTCTGAATCTTGGGACTCTTCTTCCTTCTCAAACTCTTCCGGTAATTGGTTGTTGTTGTTCTTTTCTTCGTCAAATGTAGCCATCAATTTCTCGAACTCTTCGTCTGTGGTCGTTGATGAAACTGGCCATGACTCTTTGGTTTGAGGAATCATACCTGAACCTGGCCCAAAAGGCCCATCACCGAGTCTTCCATTGGCTTGTGCTAGGCCTGGAGCGGGAGCTGTGGTTTGTGCTACTTCTTTGCTGTTAGGATGATCTACGTGAGTGAACTTGCTAAAGAAGAGCTTACTTTCTCTAGCTTCAACATTGTTTCCAATGAAGCAAAAAACAGCAACGAGGAAACAAAAAGTTACAGCTAATGAAGCCATGAAGGAAAAGAGTGAGAGTGATTTGAGGGTTTTGAGTATTTGAGATGTGTTTTGTTGTGTGAGTGAGTTTATGTATAAATAGAATTAAAAAGTAGCAAAAAGGCCGAGCAAACATGCGAGGATTGAGGAGGTACATTCGCCATTAGCATTTATTTAAAGTTAATTGGTCATAAAAGAAAAAAACTAACATTACAAATCTATTATTATAGTTTATAGTTTATACACGCCTTTTGACTTTTCTCTTCACTGTGGTAGTTGAGTTAGTTGAACTTAAAGGTTCGAATTAGAACACGATCTGTGGTAGCAAAGCTTGGATAATGTCAAAGCATATAATCTATGCAGCTCTAAAATGTTCCCTTCTATGATTTATCACAAGTTTTTGATAACCATGACTAACCAACTTGCTAAATTTTTGTAGTTAAGTATGATTTATCACTGAATAATATGATAGCATTTTGGTAATAGGAAAAATAATTGATAGATGTGATGGTTCGGTAGACATTGAAGAGAAAGCAATGAGGAAGAATGAATGTGGGTCCAATTTGAAAATAAGGGAAAGTATAGGCATTTACTGTGAATTAAAAGACTCTAGGGTCCCATGGGACAATGTGTCATGAAGTTTTTTTTTAATCTCAACGATTGCTTAGTGTGGAATCGAAGCTATCACACAGCTTTTGTCCCGTGATCGTCGGCAATCATGTATAGGTATTTTCAACGTTTGTCGGGAGCTAGTGAACAAAATATAAAAGTTTCGAGAAAAGGCTTCAACTTCAAGAGAGGTTTACTAAAGGCCCATAATTATAATAAAATTTATTTATATAAAAGGCCCATAAGCATAAGCCCATACTTGCAGGCTCTGACTCTTTCCCATGTTCTTCTTCTCTGGACAGGTAGAAAATAGGTTAAATGCAAACTTTACATTACTATTGAAAACCCTACAACTATGATTCTGTGAATTATATATGACCCTGATTAAAATCATACAAATACGTGTTTCTGGCTTTTAGAAGTTTTTTAAAAGTGTGTCACGTGAGATTTGAATATTGTGTTATGAACAGTAAATCACATATATCTAGCTAACAAAACAGCTACGCATGTCTCTCTCTTTTCTATCTCTTTTCATTTTCTTATGTTATTGTCATCCACTATGAATTGCCCTGCAAGTTAAGATAGAATTATTGAGCACAAAAAGCATTCATCTTTCCTTTTGTCCCCACCACTTCTTGATCCGCTCTTTATATATATACAAACTAATACGCACATACAAAATATAAAACTATACTTGCATACACTAGTAGCTATTTTCGAAAAGCAAAATCAATACCTTTCTACACCTAATGAGTATGCATGAATCTTATTTTTTCTTCGACGAAAAATACTAATGTAATACCATGTGTGGTGTAAATCACTATTATGTGTCATTCTGCTTGTCTCCAACTAAGTAGTGTAGACTCTTTTCTGTTTTTTTGGTGAATGTAGACTCTATTTTGAGACATACCATACTGAATTTAATAAAACGATACAGAAGAAGATGTCTTATAGAAAAGTTAATCAAAATCTGTATTGAACATAGCCTAGCCACTGCGCATTTTCACGTCATTAGACCACGACATCTCAAAATTTTAGGTTAATCAACTGTTTGGTCTATAGATTTAACTAATGTTACATTACGAAAGATCTAAAATCTTTAAATTAATCAACGAAACAACAGCTTTAATAAGCTCTTGTAAATACAGTACGCCAAAGAGCAAATTCATTACAAGTGTTTCAAATCCATCCATTGATAGAGGATGAATGACACATTGTTTGTACACCAACCCCAAGGAAATCTCGAGTTTGCCCTCCTCCTCCTGCGTCCCCACTCTCAACTCTTCTACGTTTCAAGGGGTAGTTTTGTAATTCATCAATCCCCGAGACGACCGTAACGCCACTTCTAGGGTTCTGGATCTCGTGATGAAAACCATTGTTACTCATTAACCCGACGCTGTTCTGTCCAAACAACGCGAAGAACTTGTCGCTGCCACCATCATCTATAATCTGACTCTGGCCTGAGATTTTAGACGCAAAACTCTGATGAAACGTGGATTGGTTGTTGGTGATCGTCGTCGTCGTCGGAGTAGAAGAAGTCACGCCCATTTGAGCCGCTTTTTGAAGTAATGCAGTTGCTGACATGTTCGCAACCGCGTTTGCGTCTTGTGAGATATGGTCGACGCTGCTAAAAAGAGAAGGCACGGAAAGTGAAGTAGCCGCGTTTGCGTTTTCCTTACTCGGGAAGATGTTAATATTTTCATGATGTGTGATAAGTGAATCACTAGTGGTTATTAACTCGCCGCGATTATTCGCGTTCCCGAAAACCCAATTGTAATCCTCTTGCGGTGACTGCGGCTGCGGGGCGTTATGGTCGTCTATGGTCACTTGATGATGATTGTTGATATTTCCTCCCATCCATAGGGAGAGCGAAGAAGCAGGCTTCATGACGTCTTGATGATGATGATCAAAGGCGTTGGTCGTTATAGGGAAATGATGGTGGTGATGTTGCTGTGGCTGTAGTGGTCCGAATGGAAACGATGGTGGTGGTGGTGGTGGTGGTGATGGGATAAGTGTGCCCATTAGATAATGGTAGTTTAGGTTATTACTGGTTAGGTTTTTCAGATGAGAAGCTGCGTTTAGCCTAGCGGTTTCTTCTGCTAAGGCGTCGCAAAATGCTCTATGTGTAATGAAACTGTCTCTCCTGTATTCAAACATTAACAATTAATCAAAACAATTGTATTATTTAAAGGCCTATGCACACATACATAATGTTTATGTATATAGCTACTAGTACTAGGGTTGTATACTTGTACTTCTTACTTTAACCAAAATATGTCATTCCAAGGAACTGTCGTATTCAAGAAAACAAGAAACATATATACGCTCAGAGAATGACAAATAGAAAGACCAAACTCTACAAGTTATTTCGATTTAGACCCTACAAAAGCTGGCTACTTCTAATAAGTCAACAACAGCACAATAAACTTATATTCTCTTAGTTACAAACAACATAATAAAAACAAATTTGTCTATATATAGTGCTCAGTGATATTGTAGTATATTTTAGTTGAAGTAATAGATAGTTCTTTTTTTTTTATTACCAATGCTAACTCAAGCTAATGTTACTAATAATAAAGTTATACATGTTTTGAGTGCACATTGATCATGATATGCGTTTAAACTCAAGTCGTATAATAGTGTGATGAAAGAGATGTAAAGATTTATTAATTGAATTAATACCTGGAGAAAACTGTACCACAGTCACATCTATACTCTCTAGTCCCACAAGTTTTTGAATGAGCCTTCCAATCAGATTGAACTGCATATCTTTTTGAGCATTTCTCGCACTTCCACTTCTTCTCGCCATGTTTCCGACAAAAATGTTTCTTGATTCCAGTAAGGTCACCGAGTGCTCTTGTTGGATGGTGATGAACACAACTCTTCTCCGGACATACATACACTCGTTTCCTTACTTCTTTGGTCGTCCTCTGCTTTAGTTTCCATGGGAGGTTGTGTCCTCGACGGTGAAGCTGTAGATTTTGGTCTCTTTGAAAACCTTTTCCACATATCTCGCAGAGGAAGCGGTTTGTGGCCATAAGTGTCTTTGGGGATAGAGCTATGACCTCGGCTTCTGGATCTGTAGAGATATAAATAACCAGATCAAAATAATTATATTGATAGCGGATCCTATGAAAGATCGTAAAGAAAACAAAGCAAGAAGATGATTTTTGCTGTAAACGTTTTTTATTTTATTTTCTTAATTAGGGTTTATTTTATTGATCTATTTAACTTAATTGTTACCAGGGTTTCCAGGGAGGTTTCTTTTCTTCTTAGCAGGAGGGAGATTAAAGGATTCATGTTCATGATGATGATCAACATGATCAGTTATTGACGAGCTTTGGACATATCCTCCACTACTTGAAATTGTCTGATCCTCAGCTGTCATGACTTCTTCTTGACGATTTTTTTGTTGGAAGAGATATAAAAGAGAAGCTTTAAGATTAGAGATGTGGTTTAAGGGATAACTAAGAGAGAGAAAGACTTGAAACACTTAATTAGAATCAGATGTAAATGCGAACGAGAGGAAAATACAAAAGAGAAGATATGTTGGTTGTATGCTTATATAGACACAGAAAAACCTAACACTATGTGTAATAAGAAAATAGTATTCCTCTCTCATTCAATAAATATAGAAGCACCTTGATCAGTAGAAAATGTGGCAGCCATTTTATATTGTAGTTTCACTTTCAAATTTTTCTCATTTTAAAAGTTAAATGCGGTGGAAACCAACTATAAATTTACTGCTAGAATTATCTTCAATATTTGACTATTTGTTTTTCAGTGGCAGTGCGTCATGACACACAGAAAGTTACTATATGTCTGCCTTTTCTATTTGGAATGATGATCTCATTATTTATATGGCCTTCTTTAGTTTCTCCTTTTTTTATATTCACTTTTTAATCTTTCGGTCAATTACCTTTTCTTTTCTTTTTCTTCTGCTCATATATTTGTGTATTATTTTTAGTACGTTGACAAAAGTGTTATTTTCAATATATCAATGAACATGATTTATATATAATACAGATTCAATCTATTTTTTCCCCCTCGAAAACTGTTTACAAATTATTCGAAACGTTAAAATAGTTTCATTCAAAATTAGGTTTGGTTGAAGTTAAAAAAAAAAAAAGGTTTGGTTGAAGTTTTGTCATGAGCGGACCAAAGTCTTCAATAACTATGTGGTAAGTAAATACTTCTCTCTTTTATTTTGGTTACCACAACTACGAGAACTGAAGCAGTACTGGCATTGTAATGCAATCTAGATGTTGAATCATGGGTTTTCTTACATGATAGCCAACTGATTTCGTGATCCTTTTCATAATTGACTAATTGAGATTTACATTTTCCGTAAATTGAGAGTGGTCAAAGAAGTAAACAGATCCAACGGACGTGATTGCATCTCTCGATCATTGAGAACAAAGCCTGCAATGCACGTGTACCCATGCACGTGTTCATAAGGT